CCGCCTGGTTCTCTGCCCTGCGGGGTGCGCGGCGGCTGCCCGAGCGCAGACCACACAGGCAGGGAGTGCTGGGTGGTCCGTGGGTTTGTGCAACCACTGCTGGGTTCTGGAGATAGTTGTGGGTCCTTAAAAGGATCCACAGGGAGCTCGTATCTGAATGCTTTCTGGAGCTCCCCACAGCTCGGTGTTGCGAGCCCGTCAGGCACCAACGTGTGTTCAGGGCTGCAGCCGCAGGACGGGTCTGAGGCAGGTTTGCAGCACACAGGCCTGATGGAGGTGTGTTGTCCCGAGGCTGTCAGACCCCTGCAGCAGGAGGTCCCTCCCAGCCCCCCAAATGGCTGAGCTTGGTCACGACTAGCATTTGGCTTGTCCGGAGCCCTAAAGAGTAGCTTTACTGCTGAGTGAGGCGAGAGCAGCTCGGGGCTGGTTCGGTATGAACCCTCCTCCGGCCCCAGCCCAGCCACGCTCACCCTCGGCAAGCAGAGCCAGGCTCTGGGAGGCTGCTGGTAGGCCAGGTCAATCTGAGCTCAATGACACGGGCTTTCAGTCCCTTTCTCCAAGGCTGCCATGGGATCCTTGCTTTGTTCTCACAGCTCCAGGACAAAGGGGGAAGCGGAGTTAACGCCGATACGTGCAGGCAGCCCTCAGCCCCCGTTGGTGCCGTTCCTTCTTGTTCGCTGCACGTCAGGCTGCCTTACACAAAGGGTTATAAATAAGCAGTGCTGCGGAGTCTGTGCAGAGGCTTCCAAATGAGAGATGTCACTGTTCCAGAAATCAGGGAGCCCTTCCACATTGCAAGAGCAAGGTAGACATGATAAGTGCAGCATCCCAGAATCAGCGCTGACGCTCTGTGGAAGGGGCGTTTGGCCAAAAGATTCAAGTCTCCCTCTTGTCACGCTGAAATCACCTGGGCTCGGGTGCCTGACAGGCCACCTGGGGAGCTGAGGGTGTGCACTGGCTTGGGAGGAAGGGGCGTGGGCTGGCCAGGTCTCCAGACCTGCTCTGCCTGCTGCAGAAGATCTCTGTCCATCCTCCACCTATGGATTTTCTCACTCTTCTTTGTGTACACAAACACACAGGCAGGAGATGTGACAGATTTATGATACTCCCTTGGTTTTGTTCTAATAAAAAGCAATCTGAGTGGTGAAGGATTAAATCTAGAGCTGCTTGGCTGTGAAACCAAGATGAAGGAGGCTCTGCTGATTAGAGTAATCAAGCCCCTATTCCCTGCAATAAATTAGTGTGTTAAAATCGTTCGATGCCGAAGGTGGGCTGGCGAGTGCCACCTGCTGACAAAGAGCTGCTGCTTGGGAGGGTCGGGGCTGCTGGGCTTGGGCTGAAGCTCTGCACCGCGGCTGGGGACTAGGCGAGCCCTGGGATGGCCCTGCCCTGCGAGTCTGGGGTATCAGGCGGGATGTGCTGGAGGGATGTGCCCTGAGCACAGGGGTCCGGCCGCTGGCAACTGGTGAGAATGGGAAAGCACGGGTTTTGTTTCCAGGTCTGATTTAGAATCTGTGCTATGTAAGCACGGAAACGACTGAGCACTGCACAGGGTGCTTGGCTCGGTCAGCCGTGGCAGGGGGCCGGAGGGGAGCCGACGGTGCTGAGCCTGTGCTGATCCTGCAGGGGATTGGTATCACACAGGTCACCTTGGCAGTTCCCAGCATCGCTCAGCACCAGCAGCAGCAATGCACTCGTACTTCCACCAGGATCCTGTGCCAGAGAGCGTGTGCAGGTGGACACGGGGCTCCCATTTCTTCGATTACTCCTGTTGGCCCGTAAGGTGTAAACTCCCTGTTAGTGGGGAGCATCAGTGGTAGCATCGTTTTTTCTTTAGGGAACAGGTTTTAGACACCATGTGAACTGGATCTGAAGACTGGTTGCAGCAACTGAGGAGAGCAAGAGAGGGGAGAAAGAAATTTTCTGAACTTGTCTTGGTACATGTCAGGGGTATGTCAGGGGTCTGTCTCGGGCCTGTCAGTGGTAGGAGTACACTTGAGTGCAGTATCTTTGCTCTTGTCTTTCCTTGCTCGTTGGCTTAATCTGGTAGTATGAAGAGTATGTGGCTGTACATGTGTGTGTATGTGTCTGCTATAGGCCTATAGCAAGTACAATCAACTATTAATATCTCATTGATGAAAAGATCTGTTGGATGCTGAGTTTTCTTTTGATTTCCTGGCTGTGCAAATGCTTTTTGCTTTTATTTTTCTGTGTTGATAGCCAAGAATTGACCCAGGCAAGAGGTTAAACTAAGGAACAGAGACAAGGCATTTCTTCAGACTAAACGTACTTAAAAAAAGGACAGTGCAGACTAGTGTCCTGATAAAGCATGTGAGTTTGGTCCTGATTCAGGAAACTGTAGCTGCTTTCCTGTTGTGTAAGTTGGTAAAGGCACATGGCATTGGGAGGTGTCTGAGAGGCAGAGCAGCGCCGTGCTGCAGAGACCAAGAACAGAGGGAGGCTTTATCTGCGCAGCAGCGTCTAAGTATGATCTGGACAGGGATTTCGTGGAACCCTCCATCGAATGCACGTGGCACCTTGAGGACAGCAGACCATGTGTTGCCTCAGGGGTGGCCTTTTATGCCTGAGACTGTTGTATTCGTTACTGGATGGCCCCAGCAGTGACTGGTTTCACTTCAGGCCCTGCACTACCATTGCTGTTCAAGGTCTCGTTTCCCTCCCCACCTTTTCTTTAAGGCCCACCTGTTAAAACTTTCTGGAAAGTTATCTTTTTCACATAAAATGGTTGTTCATGGCATTAAGCCAAGGACAACCTTTCTGGGGAGCACAGGTGCTGGATTTGTGAGACCAGAAAGGGGCAATATCATTTCCTCACCAGGGCAGTAACTTTTTGTAGCCGTGCCATCACAGCCTCAGCGCGACGGTGTGTGGTGACTGGCAATGCCAGAAGAGCACGTGCGAGCTCTGGGGGACGTCAGAAAGGGGCTCCGGGTGGGCTCTCGCATCTGCCTTCAGAGGAGTGGCAGCAAAGTGCAGGCATGATCCTCATGTCTTCTTGTTTGCCTGTTGTCATATTTCCTTTTGGTACCGTGTTACACTAATTGGTGCAAAACCCAAGTGCAGATCTTCCTGTGATAGTGGTCAGTTGTTAGCAGGTCTCGTGTTTGCCTGCACACAGCCACTATACCTACGTATGCAGGAAACACCGTGAGCAGCACTTGAGGCACTTGAGTTTGTAGAGAAGCCCCACAGCAGTGTAATAGCTGTCTGCAGCTGCTTCACCCTGCCATTAGTGTCGTTGTTCGTGGTGGTGTGAAGCTGAGTGGGTGAAAAAAGCCCTGCCATGAAGCGTCTTACAGAACAGAGCCCTCTGGATGGGCAGGGGCTGGCTCATCGTCAGCGTGGAGCTCAGACGTCTGCAGCTAACCTCTCGCTTGCCTTTCGCCCGCAGGAGCTGCCAGAGCATGACCAGCCTGTTCAGCAGCACCGTGTCCCCTGTTAAGGACGGGACATCATCTCTTCCGAGGAGGCAGACTTCCTTCACCAAGCCCCCACTCCGTGCACTCTACGACTTACTGATAGGACCTATGGAAGGAGTAAGCCTTTGCATGGGAAGATGTAGAGATTCACTTAGCAAAATCCCCTGTCAGTGTGGGAAAGCCAGCACAGGCAGCCTGGGGATTGTATCTAAGCGTGGTGGTTCTCACTTGCCCTTCCCAGTTGATGAGGCTGGGTGCACTGGGAGGCAGAAACAAGGGATGTTGCTGGTGGTACCACGCCCAGTCAGCTGCCAAAATACCAGTGTGGGTGCCACTTCCAGGCACACCCGCCCGCAAGGGGTGGAGGGCGCAGTGCTGGGGGTCCTGGGGTGAATGCAGAGAGGAGCTGTCTGGGGGGTGTTCTGCACCAGCCCTGGCTGCCCCGTGCGGGGCCAGCAGCGGCAGCGCTGCCCCTGGTTCCAGTCTGGCAGAACAGGGGCAGGATAAATTGAAAAGTCCTGTCTCTGTCACACAGTGTCTCTAGCTAGAAGAGGTAGTCACTCAGTCGAGAGTCAGTCTTTTCTCAAGTTGTGTCCAGCTGAACAAACAGATCGAAATGTCTTGATTCTGTTATGTGAGGGGGAAAACCAGCTCTACCATAGGCTACTTCAGAGGCTGTTTAGACGCTTTAATTTCGTCTGCAGAAGTCACTTCCACTGCAGAGGCATGACCCGTGTTAGCTCTGCCAGCCTGCTGTCCAGAGGCCTTGGAGAGCAGGGCCTTCTGCTCTGGGGGGCGGCACATGCATCCGCTTGGCAGAGTGAGGAGGTCAGCCCTGCTTAGGGGTGTTCTCTGTCATCTGCTACAACACTGTTGAAAAAGCTTCACCTGGGAGTTTGCCTGCCTACACTTAGTATAAATCAGTAAGACAGGCCGGGAGGAAATCCTCCTGCAGAACCCCAGGGGCCTGCATCTCCTTCCCGGAGAGGAGGCGCTGTGGTTGGGCACGGCTTGGCAGGTTTGGGTGTCAGCCCCGAAGTGGGCTCCAGTGAGGCACTGTAGGGCTTGGCAGGGCTTCCAGAGAGCACAGAACCAGCAGACACAGCATCCTGACCAGCCACTTCTAAGAAGATGCAGGTCAGGCCCTGTGTGTTTTGGCAGTCCCATGGTAACGGAAACTTCCAAGTACAGTGACACCTGCTGCAGGTGAGGGACCCATCCAAGGCAGCAGCTGTGAGCCGGCCTCACCCCACCAGCCACGGGACAGAGACGTTTCCACTCTCGTGACAAATAGCCAGTGTAGCCGGTATCATGACTGTGATGTAGAGCCCATGTTGCTGTGCTTGACAGTTCATGCTTTTCTCCTTTTTCTCACTGAAGAGATTCTTTTTTGTTAGAACTCACCCTAAAATTAATTGTTGGAGACATACAAAACACAAATGATCCTCATCATTTTATTTCTGTTTCTATAATGCACATGCAGCCATCATGAGGGAAAAAAATACTAAACTCTAGGGGTTTTACATACAAATTAAAAATTCTGCTAGGCACATGTTGCTATGGCTCAAATGCTCTGATTGTGTTGCTGACAGCTAAAGCTTCTGGAGGAGTAAGTAAAATTGAGTATGTATTAAAAAACAAACAAACAGAAAAGCCCCAAAAAACCTTTCTGGAAAGCAACAACTGCCCTGGTGGGAAGCTGCTGCTTATCAGCTGCAGAAGGAGGCCCAGCGGGCTGGAGGCTGGTGGTCGCTGCAGAGCTGCCCCGGGCAGGGGGTGCCGGGGGGTCCCTCGGGCTGCTGGGGCTGGGGCCAGCGTGCCAGGACGGAGCAGGGTGGGTCAGCCCTGCGCCTCCGTCTGCAGGTGGGCAGGGCGAGCTCGGAGCCGGAGAGAGGACAGGAAGAACTGCAGGAAGTCAGCAACCACTTTTAACTCCTTTAAAATTGAAATTATCTTATCCTTGAGCAGTTTCATTTCCACTTCAAATGGCAAGAAGCCTTTAAAAGCACCTCGCTGTCTCTTCAGCACTCTACTGTTTGACATTCTCCCTCACAGCTGGCCTGGTTTCTGGTATTTCTGACTTGCTCCAGACTCCCTGTGGAGGAGACTGCTGGACTGATTTTTCTATTTCTTTAGTAATGTTGATTCATCTTTGCTGCTGCCTGAATACTAAAGCCTGAGACTAACTTCAAATTCCTGTTATTCTTTGGTTGCTGGTGTGATGGGGTCAGTGTATCTCAAATTAATCATCAGCGGCCAGTGCATCACAGGGCAGTCGGCAAGTCTGTGCCAGACAGACCCTGAGCAAGGTGGAGAGGAAGAATTGTGTGTCAGGACCCAGGTGCGTTTGTCTGAGCTCTACATAGAAAACAGCACACAAGCAGTAATATTCACCTTCAAAATGCACAACACCCTTTTCTGTTGCACTGTTCGTTTATCCGACATGTCCGTGCCTCAGGATTTTCTGACGTTGCTTCTGCACCCCTCTTGTTTCAGAAGTCTGTGCTTCCATTGGACATTTCACAGTAGCAGTTCACTGTTGGCAGGGAAGGAAAGAAGATTCTCCCTCCCCTGTTGAATGGGGACTCAACTGAAATAAGCCTGCTCTAAAGCAGCGATGTTCCCAGCTGAAATAGGCGTGCTCTAAGGGGGGTGTTAAAGGGCGTGATGTTTGATAAAGAACGGAAAAGAGGTAGAACGTGGATGTTCTTTCTTCCAAGAAGAACGTATCTAGCTAACACCTCAGAGGCTTTGGTGGTTATTGTCTATGAAATGTAAGCCATGTGTTTGAAAAATATACTGCCTCTACTGCTGTTCTGTTGAAGCCCTGACAAGGAAGAGGTGATGTTTGGAGGCATTGGAATCAAGTTCAGAAATCCACAGACAGTTTTGTCTGCATTTGCTGAGCAGCCTGAGTAGCTGTTTTTCTCCTGTCAAAACAGATGTTGCTGCATCTGATGGCAATTAAAATGGCTTAAAATGAAAATTCTCAAAAGAATTGAGGATCCAGAGACAAGGATCTAGTCCTGCATCCTGGATCCTTGTCTCCGTCCTGCAGTGAGCACTGCAGAGTTAGCTTGCCTGTGGGAACACTGAGCAGTCCAGACAGAAATAAAACTACACGAATTGAGCTGGTTGTCTCCAAAACTATGACAAGTTGAGGACCTGGTCTCATCCAAGCTAAAAGTTTGGTCTTCAAATGAATGGTTTATTACTAGGCCAAGTTATGGCTGCTTAAAGGTGTAGAATTGCTTAGAAATGTACTGCTGATTTGCAGGAGGGTCCTTTAGACTCTTTCTGTGCTGCAAGTGTTTAAGCTGGGGCAAATTTCAGTGCTTTGAAGTTACTCTTTCCAGGGGTGATAACTAGTTATTTTTACGATATACTAGATGAATAAGAGTGCAGTTACATGGGACCAGGAGCAGCAGCCACTTTTTGTGCCCAGCTGTGTGGTATTGGTCTCTCTGCCTCACCTCTCCAGCCGTAAGATACTTCCCGTTCAGATCTGTTTGTGCCTCTGGGTTGATCACGGTGTCAAGTGTCTTGAAGCGCAGCTCACAGGCACAACCTGTCTGTAGATTGTTTGCTCTCATATAGGTAAATACCTATTTCGAAATTCAGTATCAGAAAGAATAATCTCTTTCAAAAGATAAGGGGATAATAATATTGACAAGATGTAGGTGGTTGGGGTTAGCAAAGGTTCAGCGCTGGAGCGGGAGGAGTCGCTGAGGCCGGGTGTGACAGTGGGGCCCATCCAGCGTGTCCGTGGGCTCAAGGCTCCTTCATCTCCGTAGGGTTGTCTGTGCACGGGGGAGCAACAGTCCCCATGTGTCAGGGTGATTCACCCGACACGGGGTGTAATTCTGACATGGGTATTTCCCAGCCTGGCCTGGGGTCAGCCTAGAGCCTGGGCCGTGCCAAGGGCAGGCTGGGGCACTGATGGGGTGGAAGGGCCGAACCGATTCTCTCTCTTTGCTTTTCAGGGTTTGATGCATTCCAGCGGGCCCGTCGGCCGCCACCGCCAGCTGATCCTGGTCCTGGAGGGAGAACTGTACCTCATCCCTTTCGCTCTCCTGAAGGGCAGTTCCTCCAACGAGTACCTCTATGAGCGCTTCAGCCTCATTGCGGTGCCATCCATCCAGTCGCTGAATCCCAGCTCTAAGGTCTGGCCCTTCCTCGTGAGCCCTCTCTGCCAGCCCCTCCGCGGTGGGGGCGGGTTCCAGTGTGTGCCCGAGGGCAGCGGCTCTGTCCTGCCACACCAGACACAGGAATAGAAACCATCATGGTGCCCGCTGCCGAGGCACCCCTGCCTGTCCCGTCCCGCCGAGCACGGCAGCCATGGGCTCGGTGCCGGGGCCGTTCCTGCAGCGCAGACTCGCGGCCCCAGGCATGGCGGCGGGACGAGGGGGGTGGCTCACTGGGTACCCCTGTCTGAAGGGTGGCGTGTCCTGGGGCGTGCGACCACACGGCAGGCCACAGAGATGTAGGTGTTTGTCTCTGTACTGCGCTTCTGCAGCAAGCTCACTTCCACCGTGTTTCTGGGACATTTACCCACATTTAGCTTTCTGTGGGGAGGCCATTCATGTCTCCTGGCACTGAAGCTGTAAGGGAAGCAAATACCACAGGCAGAGCCTGAGCAGCATCTTGATCCTGGTGTTTGGCAGCATTTCTAAGGCCCAGCTCTCCAGGGAAAATGCCCTAAGTCACATTCTGCTGCACTGGGTTAAACACCGCAAAAGGGTCTGAACCTCGTCAGCGTTACCGCCGTGGGAATTAGGCTTTTCTGTTCAGCATTAGCCCCAGTGAGCAGCGGCACCACGCCGCTGGCAGTGGGGTTACTGCTCCTTGAAGTACAGGTGAGAGAAGCCAGGTAGTAGGAGGTTACAAGTCTTCCCACAAGGTGGGAGGCTGGGATCTTCATGCGTTTAGCTCTGCTACAGCCTTCAGAGGGAGCTGGGCTAAGTCTGTTGCTTTCTGTTCTTACCTACCTGTTCCCTCAAGATGTGGGGATAGAAATTCTGGCTAGACTCAAGTGGAAGATGTTCCTTGGAATAATTAAGTGGAAGAAACTAAAGAAATGCAAAGTTTTTTTGCAATTGTGACAACCAGACTTCTGTTTAGAGCCAAAACAGGCTGTTTTATTACCAGCACCATAACAAACAGATCTTTGAACACCATTTTCTCTTTCTCTCTGTAGTCCCATGTGAGGAAGAACACTCCTGCTTACTCCAGCTCTACCTCAATGGCAGCTGTCATAGGGAATCCCAAGCTCCCTTCAGCAGTTATGGACAGGTGGCTGTGGGGACCTATGCCCTCTGCAGAAGAGGAAGCCTATATGGTATCCGAGTTACTTGGCTGCCAGCCCCTAGTTGGCACCGCAGCAACAAAGGAGAGGGTCATGAGTGCCCTCACTCAGGCAGAATGTGTCCATTTTGCAACCCACGTCTCTTGGAAACTGGCTGCTTTGGTCCTGACACCCAACACTGACAGCAATCCAGGCAGCAGCAAGAGCTCTTTTGGGAACCCCTACACAATCCCAGAATCCCTTCGGATGCAGGATGATGCCAGTGATGTGGAGAGCATCTCCGACTGCCCTCCTCTTCAGGAGTTCCTGCTTACAGCAGCTGATGTCCTGGATCTGCGGCTGCCGGTCAAATTAGTGGTTCTTGGCTCGTACCAAGAGTCCAACAGCAAGGTCACTGCTGATGGAGTCATTGGCTTGACGAGAGCGTTCCTGGCTGCTGGGGCTCAGTGTGTCCTTGTGTCGCTCTGGCCTGTTCCCGTGGCTGCTTCCAAAATGTTTGTGCATGCCTTCTATTCCTCCCTCTTAAACGGGATGAAGGCCAGTGCAGCCCTTGGAGAAGCGATGAAAACTGTGCAGAGCAGCAAGCAGTTCTCCCATCCGTCCAACTGGGCAGGTAGGAAGAATCTGCTTTTGGACAAATAAGACGGGTTTTCTACGAAGTGCTTTTATACCAGGTGGTTTGAGTTGAGCGAGGAGCAGTGCTAGGGGGTGGTGGGGAGCAGCAAGTGCCCTGTGCTCTCCCAGAATTCAGCCCCCCGTGTGTCAGACCCTGATTCACCTGAGTGTGGCTGAATGGCAGCGTCATGGAAAACATCAGTATTTCACTGTGTGTAGTAAGTGGGTGGTGGATTTGATATAATTTAAAGGAATTGTGAGGTGAAGTGTGTTCCATCGCTGTTTTCATGCCTGGAAAGAAATAATGTGCGATACAGTAACTCATCCGCTGTGTCTGAAATCTGTAGGGTCACGTTTCCCTGTGTGCTTGGGATGGAGTTAGCTGGAGCAAATTTACACAGAATCACAGTCAGCTAGGTTGGAAAGGACCTTGAAGATCATCTAGTCCAACCGTTAACCTTGCACTGACAGTTCCCAACTACAGCATATCCCTAAGCGTTTTACAGAACCTTCTCACTGAGAATTTAGTGAAACTTTAACAAGGAGGCAAGAGTGGTACTTCTGGAAGTTGCAGCAGCAACCAGTAGTTGATTTCTGGGACATAAACCTTGCAGGGCTTATGCCTTTGGTCCTGCTAGGAGAAAGGTTTCCCTCTCCTCCACTGGAGATTTCTCAGCAGCGTGAGCTCCGTGCTGCAGGGCTGGTGCTTGCTCTCTCTCAATTAGATGAGTGAGTTGAGATTCAGACAGAGCGCTGGAGTTCAACAGTGTTGTTACAGGGATATCTACAAATAACCTGCATTTTTTTTCCCAGCACAAGTCCTTGGATTTGAAAGCCACAGGCATTCCTCAGATGGTTTTTTTTGCACAGGCAGCAATACCATGGTTTTTAGATCAGGAAACTGTTGTGAATATGGCTTTGGTGTAAACTCTGTGTATCTGGAGGAGCAGGAAACTCACTAGAACTTCTGAAAGTGAGCTCTGGGGGTTCTGTGACAGGTGATTTCAGGCATGTTGAATCCAGCGTTAGGACGTGACTCAAGACACCACCAGATGGGAGCTGAGTTTAGGTTACAGTCCACAGTTCAGTTTGTATTTTATTTTCCTTCCAACATTTTTCTTTCTCAAAAGGAAAGACCATTTAAAAAAAAAAAAAAAAACAAAAACACCCCAAACCAAACAGCTGACCACTTCCTAGACAGATGTGTGTGGACGTGGTGCTTGGCATCGCCACCTAGGAGAGGCTTCCAGCTGCTCAGGCTGGCTCAGTAGCACCCCTTCCGCGGTGTGTGAGCAAGTTACAGACAGGCCCGGACTTTCACCGTTGGCTCGTGATGGTGAGTCCCGGATGGAGCAGGCGAGCACGGGCAGCCGCACACCTCGCTGCAGAGGCTGGGCAGGGGCAGGCAGGGCTCCCCACGCTGCATCTGGAGAGTCTCACGTTTGGATGGGGCATGAGCCAAGGCTGGTTGCTCTGTTTCTGCGAGCTCTGTTGAGCAGCTATTGATTTCTGCTGCTGTAAAGGAGACATGGAGCATGCTAGGACAAGTTTAGCTGCAATACAGTGTTTTTCCACTTGCTTGAACAGGAAAACACTATTGATTTAATAGAGGAGAACAGTACGAAGCATCTAGAAGCTTTCTGGAAGCTTGGTTTGAGGGACTGGGCAGGGAGCAGGCAGCTGCTCTGGGAAAACATCACCCTGCAGGGCACGGTAAATGGTCACTCCGAGGGGGCAGAGGATATCTGCTTCTGGTTTGAACATTTTCTATAACAAAAGGACATTGAGTCTCTTACTCTGAATCCTGCAGGCTTCATGCTTATTGGGAGTGATATGAAGCTGAACAGCCCTTCTTCGCTGGTCGGACAGGCCCTGACTGAGATTCTGCAGCACCCTGAAAGGGCACGAGATGCTCTGCGTGTCCTGCTACATCTGGTAAGAGAAGGGAAGCACTGCCTCACCCTGCGGCACGGGGGGGCACTGCAGCCCCTGGGTTGTGGGATCACCTTACCTGGGGGTCACATCTGTAAATGGTGAGTGGGAAGAGAAACATCCCGATGTGTGGCCACTCCCACTTGAATATCTACCCCCAGCCCTCTCCCTTACCATGAAGCGTCTCTTGTGAAAACTCTGGGTTGGTGTGAAAAGACCAGAACGCCTGATCAAGTGTCCAGAGCAAAAAGAGGCAAAGTAAGCAAAGTCATACACTGTATTGTGACAAAATCCTCCCCAGACCCACCTGGTTTGCATTAGCTGTTGAATTGGGTCTGTGGTTTAAAAATGAGATAATCATTGGGGTTAGTTGTTTCTACAAGAAAATAGCTGTAAACGTTGCAGTCACGGAGATGCAGAGCAGAGTGACTGCTGACTCTTTGCATACTTGGAAGATAAGAGGCACTTTTGTCCCCAGATGTGCCAGTAGCCTGTTGTGGGGAGCAGCCGAGCTGAGGCCAAACCGCCAGATGGCCTGAATAATCTCTCATAACTTCTAATACTTTTCTTTCCAGTGTGTCTTCTGTGGTCCCACAGGAATGTGGAGTATTCACAGGATGATGGAAACCTGTGAATATTGCCAGTCATCCCAGTTGCTGGGTTTTGTGGACACATGTCTCTCTTTACTCTTTGCCATATAGCTGCAGACTCACGCCTGGTAATAAGAGACTGGAACCTGAATGTGAGCTGTCTCTGGGGGAGAAATGCAGCTGCCAGGCTTATAGGAAACTATCCCAAAATCAAACTGGTACTTAGTTTCCTGTGGTGTTACTTTCCCCAGCGTCCCAGAGAATATTGACACTCATCACAGTGACTTTACAGCTGAGTGCTGAGTTGCTGGAGCCTGTTTTCAAGGGCACCAACACCCTTCTGTGTAAAAAGAGGCGGTTAGTAAAAATCTCCTACAAAATAAGCTAATACTGCCTTTTCCCCAAAGGTGGAGAAATCACTGCAGCGAATCCAGAACGGGCAGCACAACTCCATGTACACCTCCCAGCAAAGCGTGGAGAATAAAGTGGGCGGCATCCCGGGCTGGCAGGCGCTGCTGACGGCGGTGGGGTTCCGGCTGGACCCCCCGGCCAGCGGCCTCCCGGCAGCAGTCTTCTTCCCCACCGCCGACCCCGGGGACCGCCTGCAGCAGTGCAGCACCACCATACAGTCCCTCCTCGGTAAGAGCGGCCCCGGGCTCTGGCCGGGCAGAGCTCAGCCCCTCCCCGCCTTGCTTGGTGCAGGCCTGGGGAACAGGCACGTTTGACATCAACAGAAGAAAAGTATTTAACAGGATAGAAGTTCTAGGAGTAAATGTTTATTGAAAATTTTGTCATAGCTGGAGTCATTTACCACTGGGTCCGGTATCTGAGAAATATGATGTGACTACTCCTTTCTCCCAGCTCTGTCAGAAAATGTATAATCAGATGTAAAGTGGAAAAACCTTTTGCTTTCTTGAAATTGTTACTGCTTCCAGAACTCGCTGCTGCTTCAGCAGTGTGGGGTGAGGTTTTAGGAATTGGCTGAGTTTGTGTTCTGTTCAGGTTGTTGCATTGTTAGCATTCAAGAAGCAGATACTGAACAGACCCTGTTTCTGCTAATGTTTTTCAGGTTTGCCTAACCCTGCACTTCAGGCACTTTGTAAACTTATCACAGCCTCAGAAACAGGAGAACAGCTTATCAACAGGGTGAGTTGGGAGGTTTTCCTCCAGTACCAGTTTCCAAGTCGTTCTTCCCAGGTCAGTAAATTCGGGAATACACAGAAGCCCTGGTTTATCAACCCAGAGCTTGCTAGGAGACTTCAGGGTTGAAATTCTGAACTTGCCTGTTTGTGTGAATGAGAAGTATGTGTCCAGAAGAGAAGAATGCAGGTATGTTACTGGCCTGCATCGTCTTGGGTCTCCCTCTTCAGTGACAGAAGTGAAAACACGATCCCTGCTGCGGTGAGGGGGCAGCAAAATGCGGGAAATGAGTGGCAGAACCACTAATTGCTATTTGGCCGTCCTGTCCAGGTCTCTGTCCATTGTAATTACCAGAGTCCCAAGGTATATAATTTGGACAATGCAAGGTCTATCAAAAGTTTACTGAGCCTCTGTTTCTCCTGGGGTGTGCTGGTAGCTCTGCCAGAGGGTTCACAGCCTGTGGGAGAAAGGCTATGGACTCCTCCCTGCTCCTCCCACTCCCCTTCACATTTCTCCCTCTCCCAGCCTCTCTAGCATGCCCAGCCTAACCTTTCTCTGTGCCACCAGCCTGGTTGGCTTTCCATTACATGTTTCTTGCTGTCCTGATCGCTCCTCCAGCGAGGTTTATCTCAGTCATTTGCCTGCTTTAGTAAATGAGCACGCTGCACAGTGAACAGGCACACAGCTCGCTTTCTTTTCCCCTTTCCCCCTGCATAAGCGCTCCAGGGAAGCACTGTGGTGGGTAGCAGGGATTACCTGTGTGTAGCTTCAGAGGGCTCCCTTCATTCCATCACACCACGTCTCTGCGCAAAATGCAGAACAAGAGCCCCAGCTTTGCTGCTGCCCGCAGAGCAGCCTGCTGAGTCAGTCTGTCAGACCGGGCCCGCTTCAGGGAGAGGGCTCCTTGTAACCATCCGCAGCAGCACATGAGAGATTTCTAGTGGCTTGTCCGTTAGGGCATGTTGCTCTCTTGCCTTGGCTCTTTGTCAGTGCCTGAGACTTCCATGGTTGAAGAGCAGGATTATTTTTCCCTCATTGCCACCAGAGGGAGGCCCAGAGTTGAAGGGATGTGATGAGCAGAAGACAGCATTCCCATAGATCAGAGCGGGTTACAGTGTCCATGAGATTGCTTCACGACTGTCTTCTTGTCTCAGATAATTAAATCACCCAAGGGAAAACATTGAGATGACAACTAGCAAAAGGTGCACTCGCCATTTCCTCAGCTGCCCCATGCAATAAATACTGGCAGAGGTATTGCATTGTTTTTGCAAATCTTCCATAGCCAAACCCTGGGCAGAATTTCCTTTTGCACAAGAGTCTGTCCAGCTACAAGTTAGGGTTTTTCAACTCCCCTGCTCTGCAGTTCCTTGCTCTTGTCCCCTCGTTCCTCTCAGCAGTCCCGTGGTGAGCCGCTCGGGCTCTGCCTGTCGCAGCCTTTGGTCCGGCCTGACTGGCAGGTCAGGCCGTGGTGCTGCCCACCGCCCTTCCTGGGGGTGACGAGCGCCGGGGGGGCAGGTGCCCTTGGCAGGAGTGGAGCAGCAAGGCAGGGAGCCTCATCTTTTGCTCTGGATAGAAAATGCTTATTTTTAGTGCAAGACAAGGCAGGAACCACAAAAGAGAACTTCGGTATTCCCGCATGTGCAAGGAGGAGTTAGGAACTGCTGACTGCGTTAAGTGCCCATAATGTATCCCAGAGACAACAAGAGAAGGGCTGGTTTTATTTCAGCCTTCTGCCAGAATGTGGGTTGGCCTGAGTGTCCGCCTGCTAAGTGTCTGATTGTAATGAGCTGGGCACTCCCAGATTCCAGCTGCCTGTTCCCACGCCGCTGGGCTCCTGATTCACAGCTCAGGCTGTTTCCACTGCTCCCTTCTTTCTCTGGACAGAGCATCTTGCACCCAGGTTGCTGGTTTGCATGTGGATGTGTCACTGCAGGGCTCCCGATCACAGGCGTTTTGTAGCACAGAATAACCTGTGTTCTTTCTTTCTTTTCTCCTCTCTTCTCCTTTCTTGTTATCTGCTGCCCGAAGGCTGTTAAAAATATGGTGGGAATGGTGAGTATTACACGCACTGGGAATGACACTGCTGTGCAGGATCAAATGCCTGGGTCACTGCAGACCCATTTCCCTGTGCCACATAGTGTCTCCAGCCCCGCTTTCCGGCCTGGCGTTTGCTCCATGGTGCCACTTGGAAAAGGCTCTGTAAGCTTTTGTGGGTTGTGAGCGATGGGTGGTCCTGAGGTCAGCCGGGCCCTGATTAATGACTTTCCATCCTTCCTGCCCTGGCTGTGTTTTTGAATTACATGGGATCCTGGCACCTTAATCTGTGTCAGATCTTCATAAACACATTTTTTTCTCTACTTTGCTACTCCTGTCCCTTGGGCACAGTTGAGAAACTTCTTTCCTGGAGGCCATGGAGAGGTATTAGGAAAGTCTTCCATGGTTTCATATGACTTGTTCTGCCTAGTTAAGTGCTGAGAATGAGTTTCCTGGGATTTGCCTGAGGAGCATGGCTCAGTCATGGAATGGGCTTTACTATATTGCTGTGAGCAGCCTCAAAGTAGCTTTTTTCTGTTCTTTCACTTCACAGATTTTCCTGCTGTGCTTCCTTCTTGTTCCATTTCCACTGTCCACACCACCCAGCCTCACCCCAGTTCTGTCCCTGCCTTTGCTGCTGTTCAAGTTTGTCTGTTGTTGCTGCCCTGAGCTGTCCCTCTGCCCAGACCTCTTCATCTCCCTGTCCTGTTCAGGAGCAGCAGCTGAAATTCGGGTGTACTGGGAAGGGGATGTTGGCAGTGTGCTTCCTTGGCTGCGGCTGTCAGACGAGCAGGATGTGATCTGTAAGGAATGGCTAATGTTTTTATTGTTGTCTTCAGCTGCATCAAGTCCTGGTTCAACTTCAGGCAGGCGAGAAGGAGCAAGATTTCTCATCTGCACCAATCCAGGTTTCCATCAGTGTCCAGCTCTGGAGGCTACCTGGCTGTCATGAGTTTCTGGCAGCTCTAGGTAGGAAAACACTTCTTTCCATCTCTTTGTAACACTATTGCTGGCGTCCTGTGCGGTGGCCTGAAGGAGTGATGGGACTCGCAGCGTTAGGTTTGCATGTTGGGGCAGTGTTTGGCTCTGGTGCCTTTGGCCGAGATCCCTGAGTGCCCGGTACCTCTCCACCCGTTCGCACCCACACTGCTCCTTGCCTCGCTTGTTGGCCAGTGGGAAGGTGCATTTTTGTCTTGTGCACCAAAACATCTCCTGAGTCAACAGAACACGGATTTCAGGGTTGACAGCAGCTTGGTGCTGTCAGGTTGGTTTAATCCCAGTTTTTATTTCAGAATCCTGTTCCCCTCTTGTTCAAAATACATACTTCAGGGTTTGCTTCTAGCCTCCTGCCTGAAGTGAACCGATCATTGCTTTGGCAGGGAAACCTGTGCATGGGGAAGGGTAGGACATACCAGGGTGATAGTATGTACCAGGGTCTACATCCTACAGAGAAGACAGAACTAAATACCAAAGTGGATTTTATTCCAGCTTGCTTACATTTAGTAAAAAGGCATTGCAGGGATGAGGCAGTGCTGCAAAAAGAAGCATCCGAGAAGACTGCTTCAAGAGCTCGTAAAAGCCAGGCACAGTTTCTCACACACAGTCGTGCCTCCTGCAGCCCAGCCCTCCTCTGTTAAATTCCAACATCTGTGCTCTCAGTCAGACCCGTTTCTGTGAGAAAACTTTGGATTAATGAATGGTTGGGGCATGTGGGACACTGTCCCGAGATGTGTTTTAGTATATTGTTCCCCAACAATTCCAAATAATTTGCAACTAAAAAAGTACTGACTGTCAGTTTGGACAGGAGTGACTTGTTTCTGTGTATGTGTTCACAGTCCAGCACCATGGAGCTCCCAGCACCTGCTGGAGATGTGCTGAATAGTGCTGAAAACAAACCAACCAACTGTACACTGTAGGTGAAGAGTCGTCATTCCAGGACACTGCAGGATCTCATCTTTGTTCTAAATATCGTGTTATAAATGAGATCACACTTGATTAAGACACTGGATCGTTCTATGGGGTGTAATTCTCTGCTCCGTATTCCACTACAGGTTTTGACCTTTGTGAAGTTGGCCAAGAGGAGGTGATACTGAAAACTGGGAAACAAGCTAATAGGAGGACCATGCACTTTGCTCTACAATCCTTGCTGGCACTTTTTGGTAAAGCTGCTTAGAGTAGTTTTTGATCCTGTATCTCATGATTTGATCCGAATGGCTTGCATTGAAATCTCACACTCTTTCGCAAAGATTATCCATACATATAAACACAAAATAATAGACTTGTTTGGGCTGGAAGGGACCTTAAAGCCCATCCATTCCCACCCCCTGCCCCGGGCAGGGCCACCTTCCACCAGCCCAGGTTGCCCAAAGCCCCGTCCAACCTGGCCTTGAACCCTTCCAGGGAGGGGGCAGCCACAGCTTCTCTGGGCAGCCTGTGCCAGGGCCTCACCCCCCTCACAGGGGAGAATTTCTGCTTCAGATCTCATCTAAATCTCCCCTCTCTCAGTTTAAGCCAGTTATCCCTTGTCCTATCCGTCCCTCCCCCCTTTCCTGCAGCCCCTTTCAGCCCTGGGAGGCTGCTCTAAGGTCTCCCCGGAGCCTTCTCTTCTCCAGCTGAACCCCCCAACTCTCTCAGCCTGTCCTCACAGGGAGTGCTCCAGCCCCCCAGCATCTCCGTGGCTTCTCTGGCCCCGCTCGAGCAGGTCCGTGTCCTTCTGCTGTTGGTGCCCCAGAGCTGGACCCAGCCCTGCAGGGGGGTCTCCCAGAGCAGAGCAGAGGGGAGAATTCCCCCCTCGCCCTGTGCCCACCCTGCTCTGGGTGCAGCCCAGCACACGGGCCCTTGCTGGGCTGCCAGTGCCCAGGCAGTTTTCCACCCCCAGGACCCCCAAGTCCTTCTCCTGGGGGCTGCTCTCCAGCCCCTCCTCACCCAGCCTGGGTTTGTGCTGGGCATCGCCCCGACCCGTGGGCAGGACCTTGCCCTTGGCCTTGCTGAACTCCATGGGGTTTGCCCGTGCCCCCTCCCCAGCCTGCCCAGGCCCCTCGGGATGGCCCATCCCTCCCCTCCGCGTGTCCCCGCACACTCGGCTCGGTGTCGGGGGGAACTCGCTGAGGGTGCCTCCATCCCACTGTCCCTGTCCCCAGCAAAGACCTTACCCAGCGCCGGTCCCAGCCCAGCCCCGAGGACGCCGCTCGGCCCCGCTCTGCACTCGCACATGGAGCTGCTGACCCCAGCTCCGAGTGCGACCGTCCAGGCAATTCCTGATCCCCCAGCTCCGTCCCTCAGAGCCACGTCTCTCCAGCCAGAGACAAGGATGCTGGGTGGGGCGCTGTCAGGTGCTTTGCACAAGTCAGCAGCTGACCTCAGCTGCTCTTCCCGTACCCACCAGCGCTGTGACCCCGCTGCACAAGGCCACCAAATTCCTCAGGCAGCGTTTCCCTCAGTGAAGCCGTGCTGGCCAACACCAACCCCCTCCTTATTCTCCATGTGCCCCAGCGCAGCTTCCAGGAGGATCCGCTCCGTGATCTTGCCGGGCACAGAGGTGAGACTGACTGGCCTGCGCTTCCCTGGCTTTTCCTTTTTTCCCTTTTAAAAACGAGGGCTGTGTTTCCCCTTCTCCAGTCGGTGGGAACTTCACTGGACTGCCACGGCTTCTCAAATACGACGGGCGGTGGCTGAGCCACTTCATCCGCCAGTTCCCTCAGGACCTGCAGATGCATCTCATCAGGTCCCGTGGACTTGTGCACCTTCAGGTTCCTGAGGTGGTCTCAAACCTGACCTTCTCCTGCAGTGGGTGGTTCTTCCTTCTCCCAGGCCCCCCCTTTGTCTCCTGCCCCTTGGGCAGTGTGGCTGGAGCACTTGCCGGTGAAGACTGAGGCAAACAGGTCACTGAGCACCTTCCTCGTGTCCCAGGTAACCAGGTCTCCTGTTTCCCTCTGGAGAGGGCTCACATTTCCCCCAGTCTTCCTTTTATCACCAACATACCTACAGAAGCTTTCCTCCTTGCCCTTGATGTCCCTGGCCAGATTTAATTCTGTCAGGGCTTTGGCCTTCCCGACCTGATCCTTGGCTGCTCAGTTTCTCTGTATTTCTTCCAGGCTGCCTGTCCTTGCTTTCACCCTCTGTGGGCTCCTTTTTGTGTTTGAGCTTGTCCAGGAGCTCCTTGTCCATCCCTGCAGCCTCCTGGCGTTTTTACCCGACTTCCTCTTTGTCGGGATGTGTCACTCCTGAGCTTGGAGGAGATGATCCTTGACTATTAACCAGCCTTCTTGGGCCCCTCTTCCCTCCAGGGCTTTACCCCACACCGCTCTGCCAGGCAGACCCCTGCAGAGCCCAAGGCTGCTCTCCTGAAGCCCAGGGCAGTGAGCTTGCTGCCCGACCCCTCGCTGCCCTCAGGACCTTGAACTGCCCCATTCCGTGGTCACGGCAGCCAGGGCTGCCCCTGAGCCTCACACTGCCCCTCCTTGTTGGCAAGAACACGGTCCAGCAGAGCCTCTCTGCTCGTTGGCTCCTCTGTCACTCGGAGAAGGCAATCAAGGCACTCCAGGAGCTCCTGGGTTGCTCGTGCCCTGCCATCGTCACACACGTCACACACACCATGCATCCTACAGCGGGTGCAGCAAATGTTATTTTTACAGGGGAAACAAACACTGAGACTTGGCTGAGGACGAAGCTGGGAATAGAGCCCAGCAACTGGAGGATGTATAACTCTTGGGTTTGAGATACAAAATGATAACGTATTGACAGGTTTCACCTAGGATACCTGGACTGAGGCTCCTGCCTGTGTGTTTCCTGGGCTGTGCACATTTATTTTCTCACCTAAGTACTGGTTGGGGTTTTTAAAGTAATGTAGAGTCTGAGTGCGTGTTTTGTAGCATTTCCTCTTAATTCTGATAGAACATTACCTGGTTTTGTTTGATTTTACTGTGTATCTAGGGACGTGTTTATACATTTATTTTCTTTCTTTTTTAGATTCTACAGAGCTGCCTAAGCGCCTTAGCCTGGACAGTTCCTCATCGCTAGAGTCCCTGGCTTCTGCTCAGTCTATTTCTAACCCTGTACCCCAGTATCAAAACCCTCCATTCTCTCCTACCTGTCCAGACAGCATTGCGTCAGATGCCATTTCTGTGTACAGCCTGAGCTCCATTGCTTCCTCCATGAGTTTTGTTTCTAAGCAAGAGAGCGTGGCAGATGGTGTGGGACACAGAGGACGCCAGGACTATGAAAGGCCCAAGAACATCTACCCGCAGAGGTCTGCGGTACAGAGCCAGTTGTCACCACAAACCAGCACTGTAGCCAGCAAAGATGAGGAAGAGTATGAAGGTTTTTCTATAATCAGCAACGAGCCTTTGGCCAGTTACCAAGAAAACGTAAAACCAAGATTTTCCCCTGATCACAAACAGCCCAAAACTGGTCAGACTGGAAGCATTAAAGAGTCTGTCAACTCCAAAGGGAGCATAAGTACCCCAAATTCTCCTGTTAAAATGACTCTTATTCCCAGTCCAAATTCACCTTTCCAAAAAGTTGGGAAACTTGCAAGTTCTGATACTGGGGAATCTGACCAGTCTAGCACTGAGACTGACAGCACTGTCAAATCCCAGGAGGACAGCAATCCAAAGCTTGACCCACAAGAGTTGGCCCAGAAAATTCTGGAGGAAACTCAGAGTCACCTCATTGCTGTTGAACGTCTTCAGAGAAGCAGCAGCCAAATAAGCAAGAGCAACACTTCCGAGGATGGGGCCTCCACCCCTGCGGGTGTGTCTGCATTCAGATGCTCCGAGACCAGCGCGTTCAGCCGGCCAGTCAGCAAGAACCAGTCTTCACCTCTCGCAATGAAACCAAAGCCTCCAACGAGGAGTTCATCCCTTCAGAAGGTGAGCTCTGGCTATAACAGCCCTACGACGTCGGAGATGTCAAACAAAGAAGGCACAGGCCAATACAGCGGGCAGCCATCTCCAAGTTGTGAGTCGCATGGGTCCTTAACTGAGCAGCCTCACTTCAAACTCAAGTACCCCAGCTCTCCCTACAGTGCTCATATTTCTAAATCACCCAGAAATATCTCTCCAAGCTCAGGGCATCAGTCTCCTGGTGGCAGCACTCCATCTCCTGCTCTTTCCTATTCCTCAGCTGGTTCTGCTCGCTCAAGTCCAGCTGATGCCCCAGACATAGATAAGTTAAAGATGGCTGCCATTGATGAAAAAGTGCAAGCAATTCACAACTTAAAGATGTTCTGGCAAAGCACTCCCCATCACTCCACTGGCCCGATAAAGATTCTCCGAGGAGCTCCTGGAACAATGACTTCTAAGAAAGATGTCCTCAGCTTGCTCAATCTATCTCCACGGCACAGCAAAGAAGAAAGCGCAGATAAGCTGGAACTCAAGGACCTGTCTATCGAGCAACACCTTGCTTCTCCACAGAAGAACCCCCCAAATGGACACAGGCGCCCTGAAACTACAAACACAGTGACATCAGCTCATTCCCCTTCCAGTAGCACTCCAGGAACCGCGCGTCCCGTGAGGCTGCCGTCCGGGAACGGTTATAAATTTTTGTCACCGGGAAGATTTTTTCCTTCTTCCAAATGTTGAAATGTCTCGAGTACCAGCTGATGACTTACAATCTTGTTACAGTATTTGCTTCTGCCCACTTGCCTTTATCAGTACAGAACCATTATCTAAGCAGGAGTGGTCACACCCACAGTTGGCAGTCCCAGGTGACAGACTGGCCCCGTCGCTGCGCAGGACACGACCCTCACAGAGGGGTTTTAGTCCCTTACCAGGATCTTGCCCAGACTCCCCTGATAACAGGTTCTCTGTCGTGTTCAGTGTTTGCAGCAGCAGGTCCGATGAATCCAGTTGTTCATCAAATACTAGCTTTTAAGCCACCTACTTGTATTTCTTAACCTAACAGGCAGTTTTACAGCTGGCTTTTCATACGGAAATTAGACTTATCAGGGATTGGAGAGGGAAGCGAGGGGAGGCAGAACTTCCATGTATACCACAAAGAAAGTATGCACAAGTTTCTGCCTGGAGAAGTACAAGCCATTGATTTGATTGCTTTCACAGGCTGACAGAGGGGACAGGGTGACACACCTCCAGATATCTGCCAAGTTACCCAAACACAAGAGATTGCTGGCAATAAAACTCCATAGCAGCATGATACTGGCAGTTCTCTTGCATCATTTAGAGGCTAGTGAAACAAAGACAAGAGGATAGAGGTGCCCCATTCTAAAACCTGCATCTCGGGTAGCTCTTTCCTGGAGGGAGGAGACCTTTCAGGTGATTTTACTGCTTGGTCTGCTCAGAAAGAATGTTTGGGGCATAACGAGCAGAGTGAGCCTCAGCGTGAGGTAGTGAGCGTGTGTCAGAGAGACAAGTTCTGGTTTTGAGTGCTCTGATATTTCTGGCACACAGCGTTACGAAGGTGAAATTTTCATCTTGGCAAGTATTTGGGCAGCAAGTGCACAGAAAAGAGTTACAGACACTGAAGCTCAGAACGTTATTTTACAGTAGGCAGGACTGCAACATCGGTGTATGATTTAGAAATCACCTGACCAAATACACCCTTCACTGCTCCTGCCGAATCATTCCACTGCTCAGCACGGGCAGGTCCGCACACCCCCCCTGCTCTGGAAGCAGGTTTCTCGTGGAGCCCGTGTCCAGCCCGAGGAGCTGTCAGTGCAGGCAGAGCAGCTGGGTGCCGAGCCTGGTCGGAGGAGAAGAGAGGACCAAGAGCACCCCAGGGGTGATGTGTAGAGTAAGCTTTCCTAGGCTGGATGGTGTTTGGGTGTTAGGCATCAAGTTGGAGTTTATTTCTTTCAAGCAGCTGTTGAACGCAGTGATGTAATCAGAATCGAAATGATAATCTACATGCACTGAAAACTGTGGGCATGTGGTAGCATTAACCTGGCCACACTGCACACTGAGATCAAGCAAAGTATTTCCCAGGCCACGTGCTATGAAGTCAGAGCACTGGATCACCAAGGCTTTTGGTTTCTATCCTGCACTCCCAAAATTTGCTGAGTGACTGAAGGCTAATCACTTCACCTCTCCGTGCCTCGTCTTCCCTTTCTATCTAAATGGGGATAGTAATGCTTACCTACCTACCTCACAGAGGTGTTGTGAGGCTTAATTAATTAGGCCCTGAGTTTTAGCTGGATCTTAAGTCAACTTCCAGTCTTGCAGCTGACCACCTGAATGGTGAGTGTGGTCAGCTCTGGAAGTGTGATGGGGCACATTGCTGATGCAGATAATTGTTGCACTTACCATGTCTGGATGCTCTTCTTGAAAATACGGATCTGATAGTTTGTGATTTTCTTAGGGATCTTGGAGGAGAAGCAGGATAGCCAGACAGATGATTCTGATACCAGAATATAAAATTACTTAGGCTCAGCTTACTCATGGTGCATATATCAGATGCTTGCCTTCAGTATATTCTAGAATCCACTGGTTTTGGGAGAATGTTTTTGCCATCGCAAGAAATGAACACAAGCACTAAAGGCAAAGACTATAGGGCTGTGTTGTTACAGTCAGCTAACAAGGGATGGTTGATCGCAAAAGTTTCGGTGCAGAAAGACAAAAAGAGTAGTTACTCGTCTACTCATATTATGCAATGTAGCAAAACAGTTGAGTAAATTGTCCAACTCATATGATGCAAGTTATTGTCTGTACAATACATCTTTCTGTGATGGTTTGGTGCTAGATATCATCTTCTCGTCATTTGGCAGGAAAAAACAGAATAGTGGGCCAAAATGAGTCAGTACAGCGTCTGCCCGTGGTGTAGACGGTGATATTGCTGAACATGCAACTTGCTGTGGTCACAAGACTGAGGAGAGACTTCATATGACCTACTCTGTTTCTAACCAGCATAACTGATTTAAAACGACATCCCAGGAACATCCAGGATGGAAGTGGGCAGCTTTTTTTTTATAGCAACAGCAAATACTCCCTGTAGTGCTGCATAACACGCCAGAAATAAGCCTCTTTACTTGTAGCTTACTTCCATAACTAAAGGTTCTTTTAATCTGTAGAAATTATATATTGCCATTTTGGTACAACCCCTTTTCACGCTGCCAGTAGGTTTCATACTGGCTTAAAGTTTTCAAAAAGAGCTAAATCGGGGCGGGAGGGTGGTTCTTCTGTTGTTTTTTTTAAGGAGGGGGGAGCATTAGAAACAGGGAAGGGTTCAGATGTAGAGGAAGTTCAGTATTTGGGAGATCGGTGTTGTATAAATATGGAAGGTGGGTGTCACTAGAGCAAGTCCCTTGGGAAACGTGTTTCCGTTGACTTGGCACAGGGCACTTCCGTTGGCTTAACGAGAGCCATGAAGATGCATGCTTACTCATGGCGGAGACACTTCACACACCTTGTGCCTCACTCCTCCACCCCTGAATGAGAAAGAACCCCTTTGTGAGGAAAAAAGAGTTTTATCAGGTTTGCCCAATATGTGGAGAAATTCAGGAAATGAAAATAACATGTTCTCCGTTTGATATTAGAAACCCTTCTGTGGAGTTGAAATGCATTTGTCGTTGTTGTATTTGTGCATGGTACAAGTGACAACACTGCTGAATACAGTGAGCAATAAGAGGTATTATCCACTTTCACACTAAACCTGCCACATGCAACCATTCCCCAAGGCCACAGAATGTACTTTAGGTTGGTTTTGCCCAGTATGTTTTACTGTGTGAATTTTTATTGACTGTCTTTAGCTCCATCTAAATGGGAACAGTAAACAGACTCTCTGATCAAAATCCAGTTTAATTTGATTTTGTTGGTTAGCCTGTACTCTGGCCTGGTACTGATTTTTTTTTTTTTAGTCATACCTTACTTAAACAAGGAAAAAGCATTGAAGGGGTGCTACACCCACGTGTATCACTCTAGGCCATATTCCCTTTCATTAGGTCAAGCTCGTTCTGTGAACATCTCTTTCAAGTTGCAGAATAGATCCAGGTGCACAGAAATATCTGTGAATCTGTTAAGAAACACTGGTAGTTTCAGGCTAGACGGTAATAATGGGTTTGAGCAGTTTCATGTTCATTGCATCGCCGTGCCGTCTGGAAAGGCTGCGAAGTGTGTGGAGAACGTGGCCCCTCGGTTGCAGAACTCCTTCGAAAGAGCGTTAAAGATGGTAACTCGGAGAGGACTGTCAGCAAAGACTCTTCCAAGCAGCAGCCCGTTAGCACTTGCTCTCCTTGTATGCAGTGTTAGCCGTGTTTGGCCTATATGGACTTTCTTTGTAAATTAAAACTCTGTTTCCAGACAGCATTAAACTTTTTATATTATGAAATTTACCATGTAAAAAGATTTTCATATTTTTATTGAAATTGCTAAGGCATTTGGCCTTCTTCCTTTGTGATTTCAGTGTCTATTAAAGCATGAGTTCTCTCAGTACTGCAGTCTCTTGGTCTAGGATGATGTTGGGCAAGAACTGGTCAGCACGCTGCTGCCTGTGCTGCCGCTCGGTCCATTTGGGCGGCTCCCCGGCCGTGGAGGAGCGGCACGGGGACCCGCGGAGGAGCAGTGTGGGGACCCACGGTCTCTGGCGGGGTCGGACTGGCGGCACCTGTCCTGGGCTTCCCCTGTGGAAGTGAGGGCGCCCTGAGAGCCGCTGCCCCGCTCCGTGGCAGGGTGGAGCATTCCTGTGATGATGTCTGGAAGTTGCTTCTCCCCTTCCTAGCAGGTGCTGGGAGGGTCGGTGTTTGCTCGCTGTCTGTCGGCGGCGGCAAAAGGACACGAAGGGTTGGGGGGAGCTCCGGGGATCGCCCAGTCCCAGCGCCGCACGGGAAGCACCGGGTGCCGCAGGCAGGGTGTATTTTCCCCATCCCATGCCAGCTGGAACTGGCCAACTTAAGTGTCCCTTTTGTCCCCGTGTGAAAGGTGCCCCTGTGCTTAGGGGAACTGTTGGTGACCAGATGAAACTAAACAGAGTTTTGACTTTTTCAGAAGTTCCCGCTGACGCCAGCCCCCAGCTGTGTAAACGCAGGCCCTGGCCGTGTTGGTGACCACACAGCCCGTGTCCCCGGGCAGGGCACAGCAGGCGCTGCCGGCCTCTGGCCCCCAGGTCTTTGACTGCTGAGGATGAGGTGATCTGCGCCGCAGAAATCCCCGTCGCCTCCCTGGCCTGGACTCCCGTAGGGCCCTTTCCTGGCCTGTCTCAAGTACCCGATTCTCTGTATTTGAAGGGTGGTGCAGCCCCAGCGGAGGGGCTGCGTGTGGCCACTGAGGCGCTGCCCTGTGCCGCGGAGCTGCGCGGCGGTCCTGTCCCCCAGAGCCCTGCTCCTGGAGCAGCACGGGGGCACCTCAGCACTGCAAAAATAAGTGGGGGGGTGGCTTAAAGCCTGACCTTCAGCATTCTTGTACCGGACACTTGAAATGCTAATACACCTCCGGGGCAGCGGGAGCGGTCTGGGTGTCGGTGGGCTCACCCCGAGCGCTGACACGTGCCCAGCAGCGTGTGCCCACAGGGGCCTCCCGCAGCCCCAGGACCCCCCGGCCGGGAGCAGCCTTCACCTCGCACTGCGCGTGGCTGTGGGCTTCTTCACAAGCCTCCACCTCTTGTTCTGTCGTGTTACTTTCCCCAGATGGCCTTGCTTTCTCATTATTTTTTAATGTACTCTCCAAAGACAACTTTTTTATCCCTGTCAGAGTACCAGCCGCCTTCTATTACATGATGACATCATTTGCCTGAGGTTTTATGGGTAAATGACTGTGGCTGATATTTCAGTGGACTCCAAGAAAGCTGTTCCACGAGGAGCTGCAGCAGTTTCCACATGTACGAACCAGAGGCGTACAGAGGATTGCGTTCTCCTTAGCAAGTCTCTCCCACGTCCTCCTCTGTGAGAAGCCCTTGGAGAGGGACATTTATTTTCCAGTGGCTGGCATCAACACAAACATCTTTTCTGCTTTTGGATGGTCCTCAGACTTCCAGTGCTTTGTGGCTGGGGGAGCTGGTGGAGGAGCATGTGCATTGCTACTCCCACATGTGGCCGGACGTGCAGGTGTACCTCAGGGATACTCCGGGGTGCACGGGGAGACAGGCCAGCTCTTAGGGCTGGGCATGTGGGCACCCGCTCTGCGCAGGGCAGATCAGATGGGAGAGTCCGGTTGTCCTGGAGGTGTCAGAGCTGGGGTGCACTGACCTCACCTCGCTGGTCTTGATCAAACAGCAACACAACCTGCGTGCTGAAGTGCACAACTTTGATCTTTTAGCATAAAAGAGGGAGTGTTTAAATATTAAAAAAAATCATACCATTTTCAGTTCATTATGTGGAAATGTTTGCCACGGTTACAAATCCCTCTTCTGTCTCAGAAGGAGGAATGGGGGCCTGGGAACGCGAAGGCAGAGGAGTTTTGTGCCGGGAGCAGCGAGGGCTCCCGTGGTGCTGCCGCCCTCTCGCCCCGGCTGGGTGCAGGTCACCCCGCCAGGCCAGCGGGAGACCAGAGTGGGTCAGAGGAACGCCAGAAGCGGGCACGTTCCCCGGGTCCCGCACAGCCCTGGAGCAGCTTCCTGCCGGCTGCACGGACGCTCGGCCAGGGGAGCGGGGACGCGCCCCGGTTCCCTCGTGCTGTGACGGCCCCTTGTGCCCCCCCGCTGGTCCCTTGCAGGGCTCCGGAATCCGCTCTCATGTTCCAGTGCCACCATCCCACCCCCGTGCACCCAGACCTGCGCTCGGGCCCCGGGACCTCCTGGCAGGCTCAGGCCCTGACAGCAGCCGGGAGCCGCTGGTGGGCCACTGCACTGGCCGTGCTAGTTGCCCACAGAGGGGAGCCGAGCCTGGGGGCGCAGCCCCTCCACTGCACGGGGGAGCTCTGGGGGCTGCTCTGAGGTGGTTTGTGTGTGCGCAGGGTCTGGACTCAGCAGGATGCAGCTACTCGGACGGTGTTGTCGTGTGTGGTAGGATCTGGACCTAAACAAAGAGAAGGGTTCTGGGGAGAGCACAGACTGCAGCTGCCGGCTGCGTAAACAAAGGACAAATGTTGTCCATATGGGGAAGGAGCAGCAGCAGGGGACTGCACTCAGCCAGGATTTCGAAAAACCAAATAAAGGAAAATACTGAATGCTTGAGAACTTCGGGAAGCAGACACTTAAAGCCCCACCACTGTGCCCTGGCACAGCCCTTTGCAATTTCTTTGCCTTTTAGACTAAGCCAGCGCAGGCATAAGTCTGAGCAGCAGTTTCCATAGCATCTGTCTTTCACATTGCAAGAGACTTGAATGAAAATATGTTTTCATAGGCAGAGCCTATTGAGGATTTTCTTTAAAGCATTTATCTGTAGGAGGGTCGTTTGGCAACATTTAATTTTCCTGTCTGAATTTCTGCTCCCCTTTAGTGGAGTGGATGTGTAAATGCTACTGGCAAACGGGACCTGGGGAAGAGGGGAGCAAGGGTGAGCCTGAACTGGGGTCAGTAGTTGCTTCTGCGAAGAGGATGCAGTTCAGAGACACGGGAGCACAGGCATTGTGCTGAGACTGGTGCTAACACAGGAAACTGCAATTCAACAAGGTGCAAAAATCCTTAGCCAGTTTTGGACAGCAACAGTTATCCCACAGAAGAATTAAAATGCAGTGGCTACCCAGGAATTAAAGTTGTGCAGTTAATAGCAACTCCTGAGGGCTGAGAGCTGACACGAATGTGCATTTACAATGACGCCTTTCTCTTGTCAGCAGTAGGGCAGCACTAGTCACAGTGAAAATCTCTGCAAGTGTAAATGCTGTTCCACAGCCAGACATATTTCCATTTTTTTTGAGGCGGAATCCTTTCCCTTCTTTGGGCCAAACTGCCAAGTTTCACCCTCCCCTTTGTCAGACCTTGGACAATGATTCCTACCTTTGCCTTTAGGAAAAGCCTCAGAGTCACTCAATGCCTTGATCAGCAGGCAAATTCTGCTGCAGTGCAGAATTGCACAACTTTATTTTCTTGTTAGCGAGCTGTGGAGTGGCTCAGAAACAACTCAAGGTCCTTTGCCTGCAGGCACATGCCTCCTTTGAAATCCATTGCTCTGCAAGAGGTTAACTCTGCTTGGCTGCTGGTTACGCATGTGGGAACTTACCCTGGCAGACTGCGGGCCACAGACAGGAAACCTTCGGATCCAGGCTAGTCAGATTGAAATAAGACACTAACATCTTCCCACCCATCACCCCAAAACAAAAGCAGGTTGGATGAGGACGTACCTCTTGCACTGAGCAAGGTAAAACCACTCGGCTGAAAGAGGAAAAGAGCAAGTTCAACAAAATTAATATTTAGGCTTAATCTGCAGATAACTTATAAAGACATTCAAGAAAGAAGTGTCAAAATGAGTTAATCCAAGTTTTCTTTTTAGAAATGCTCTGTGACAGCAGGTTGCATGGATATAACGCAACAAAGCCAGGTAAAGTTCAGTGACAGATATGTCACAAAAGGAAAAATAAAAAAGAAGGGTTTAAGAACATTAGAAGCTACAGAGAAGAGCCAGGAAATCTACTTCCAGCTCTGCCATAACTTTGCATTGTGCTGAATTTATTTAACCTTTGAGGTGTGAGGTTTTTTCATGTTACACAGTAAGCAGTTCTGTCTATACAATTTAAAAGGACAAATGCACAGGCCCTCAGAGCCTACAAGTGAATTTTGGCAATTACAGCAGTTATTAATCATTTCAAAAGCAACCACAACTCGTATCCCGTTTAGGTGGCAGAAGCAAGAGCATTTTGGGCCAATAGTTTAGTGCTAA